GTGTGTGTGGATGTTAGGTCGGTGGGTCATGACCAAAGAATGAATCACAGGATTGTTCTGATAGTGTTGTGGAAAGCAGGGCAAAACAATGCTAAATGCTAATAATAAAAAACAACCATACAATAAATCATTCAGGTTAAGACACTTAGAAGGGAGGAGAAATCACGTCTGATATCTCTTATTGTTGATGTCAAAGGCTGTTTAATTTAATCTGCTAATATGGCTAATGCTAATACAGTATTTTTAGCCCTGTGTTGATTCTGTGTTAATTAGTTACATTTTGGCAACATTATGCAGGCAAAAAGGTCCGTTGTCAATTGTCAAGTGTAGTGATGTAATGAAGCAGAGCTGAAAAGTCACTTTTTTTTATCTAAACAGCTTTCCTTTGGTTAGCTTGGCAATGTTGAGTGACCAACCTGAACCTGTTGCGAAATCTGCGTGGGGAAATTGCTTATTAGCATCATTAGTAGGGCTGCAGCGCGTTAAATATCGCATGCGATTTATCGTGCAGCCCTAATTATTAGCATATTTATTAATAAGCTTATTATGCTTTAATAAGCTTATTATGCTTATTAGCATGCATATTACAAGCATACTGGCTTTTTATTAGTATTTATAACCCACATATTAATGCCTTATTCTGCATGACCATATTTTGGATCCCTTAATCCGACCCCATACCTAAATTTAACAACTACCTTTGTTAAGCAAATGAGCAAATGAGGAGTTTGTTGAGGGAAAAGTTGTAGTTAATAGTGAATATGAGTACCCTATTCTAAAGTGTTACCAAAAAACATCTCTTGCTGCTTTTTCAGCATAAAGGCATGAGTGCTACATTTTTAAAGACATTTCAAGTCATGTTTAAATATCAGAGGAGGCTGTTTACTGTAACAAGGGCGATTAAAGGGATAGTTTGAAAATGAAAATTACCCCATGATTTACTCACCCTCAAGCCATCCTAGGTGTATATGACTTTCTTTTTCAGACAAATACATTCGGAGTTATATTAAAAATGTCCTCACTTTCTCAAGCTTTATAATGACTGTGAATGGTGGTCGAGATTTTGAAGCAAATTAAAGTGCATCCATCCATCATAAAAAGTGCTCCACACGGCTCCGGGGGGTTAACAAAGGCCTTCTGAAGTGAATCAATGCATTTTTGTAAGAATAATAATAATATATTTTAAACTTTATAAACCATAATCTCTAGCTTCTGCTAACATACGCGCGTTACCGAGAAAGTGGCATTCCATTGATATTTTTCTTACACAGATGCATCAGTTCACTTCAGAAGGCCTTTATTAACCCCCCAGAGCCATGTGGAGCACTTTTTATGATGGATGGGTTTTTGGGTCTCAAAATCTCGACACCCATTCACTGCCATTATAAAGTTTGGAAGAGCCAGGACATTTTTTTTTTATATAACTCCGATTGTATTCGTCTGAAAGAAGAAAGTCATATACACCTAGGATGGCGTATGGGTGAGTAAATCATGGGGTAATTAAAATTTTTGGTGAACTATCCCTTTAACTTTCAAAACCAGTAGTGATCAATTCTGCTGTTCTGCTGTTTATGCATTTACAAAATTATCAGTTTTCCTTTTCGGCTAATATTATGTTCAAAGTTTTACATTTTGTCATACCTATGCAGTTTACAGTCATACCTATATGTTGTTCAATATTTGACCAATATTCTTGCTCAAGTATTGTTCAAATATGTCTGTTTGTTTTAGTGTAGACCTTTAGGCCTCTGATGAAACAGGTACACAGATAACAGCAGATAGTTGCAGATGACCCAGTAAAACACGCTTCAGCCCTGCTGTCTTTTCATTCCATTTTGGTTGTTCGGGGAGGGGTCAGGAAGCCAGAATGCTGAAGGTCATCCATAGGCAGGTTTACTAATGGAAGTCCTGTCTGTGCCTGGTGCGCTGAGATGGACGACGTAGATCTGGTTTCTCAAAAGAGACGCAGCTTCGGCGCTGCGCAGGGGCCTGGGTAGCGTGACGGACAGAACAACAACTAGGTGCAGACAGGCCGCACCTCGGGCCCAGACCCCTCCGTAAATCAAAGCTGTCAGCTGGACAGTAATTTTGTGGATGTTCTGAATGATCCGGATTGATTGATAAATCGTCATTCGCTCTGGGAAGAGATTCCAGGCCTCCTCGCCCCCCAGGACTGCCCCCAACCCCCATACCGACCCACGCATTCCAGGCCAGCAGAGCTATTCCTGGACACGGGCTGTGTGTGTCCTGTGCTCACACCCCGAGATA